GATTTTGGAAACTGCTTGATGTACATAATGTCACAAAAGGTATACTAAGTTTTTAGGCATAACATGTTATAAAAAGCATTTTGCCATAACCAAAACAGAGTTATTCTGGTTAAAAGGTATTTGTACTACCTGAATTGAACGTCATATAAATCTCTTTTTTCTTTTACTTGTACATTGAGCGCGTACAAGACTGCGCCCACCAGTGCTTTCAGTCTTACAGGCACTTATTGATTGACGGCATTGCCATCTGGATTTTTTTCACGGTCGTACAACATATTGTGTTGGAAGGCAGCGTTTCCATGTTTATATAAGTTTAAGTACACACGCACGCACACACACACACGCGCGCACACACACGCACACACGCGCGCGCGCACCAACACACACACATACACACACAAAACTAACATAAAATGCACAAATTAAAAAATACTAAAAGATATTTAATATTTGTAATGTAATTATAACCTCAAATGTATGTATAGTCTGCAATAACCTCGGACATATACTTACTAGAAGATACAATAAAATTAAACTGAAAGCAATAATAAAGATTTTTGTGAATTGGAAGTTATCATAAAGTATACTAAACTATATACTACATGTATTTATTTACTTCCTTTACATAAGATAAAAAAGAAAGAAAAAGACACGAAGACTGAGATCTAGTCAAACAACAGCAATTAACCTTTTCTAGTAAGTAGATCTTTACAAAGCTTTTGAAATGTCCAATCTTTGATTATTTTATTATATTGCGACCACAAAATTCTTAAAAATTGTAACCGAAAGTACACGATAAAATGTGCATGTTTCTTAGATTTCATGCTTTTAAGTAATTTATGGCGTATGTTTAGTGAAATGATTACAATTTTCCTGCCACGCGATCGTGTTATCTTCAATTTCCAGTGACATGTTTACAGGCATACAATTGCCATCTTCAATTTTCAATGACAATTTTATCAGAATACAAAATATATATGGAGGTCTAGACAAAGTTATTAGACGTGGAAGATCATGATTTTAGAACTGTTTTTACAGAGAAATATTATAGTTTAATTTATTTATTTTTTGCTATTTGTGCATCTCCAATAAAGTCATTTTTGACGAGTTGCATAAGTCGCTATCATTATTTTACACTTTTAAACATTTATTTAATAAAGAAATTATAAAACAAACAATGCAGTTTGTAAATATTTATATACAAGGTCGTAAAATATTTTTCCAAAATTTTCATCAGTTATTTAAAATTGTTATAATATATAAAGATTGATTGAGCAAATCATTTTTTCAAACAGTTGTTGAACTTGCACTTTAATCCTGCACCGTCCATGAACAGGCTCAATCAAACCAAGCTTGCAACAGATTAACTTTCAGATTAACCTTCAACTAAATATTTTAATAGAGAAATATGCCATACAGAACAAAACGCAACAATTATTTTTTAATAAGCATGCGTAATTAACAGTCTACGATATAAAAATGCTCATTGAATATGAGTTTCGATCTATTTTTAGACTGGGAAAATCAAATTCAGCCACTTCACCCAGGCAATATATTTTTTATAAAAAGTTCCGTTGAAAACTGTTTGGACCAATGAGATTGCAGCTATATTTAGAACATATAATAAACACAAAAATGTTTTGGGTATATTGCCGTATTGGTAGTGAAGAGAGTGTGTTATTGCACTATTTGAAGTTATTCAGGTAGAAAATTTTCACTGCGAAATAGGGTGTAAAGCTTTGTGTGATATAATATTACATATCTTTTAAGGCAAAAAATGAAAACTCATAGTGTTCATTGTATTTTTGAAACATATCTTGTACAACGAGCGTTATTGTCAGAAACGTCTTAAATCAACACATTTTTGAAAAACTTAAATGTTTTGAGTTATTCACATAGTTGTTGTGATGTATGGTAAGATGAATAATTCACACCATTTTTTTATATATCTAAACTGTTTATTGGTAATTCCCTAATGTATAAAAGATGCGAGTACAGGAATTATTTTGCAGCAAAGTACATTGCGCAATGATGAGGACATTAATTTCATTTACAAATGTGTTAATTGTTTATTAATGTAATCGGTCGCTCGCATGTTATGTCTGTGTAGGCGGACTGCCCCAAAATCACACATTGTTAAGCAATACAAGTGAGAAATGTTAACTAATGTACGATTGATTTAAATTGATTTAAATCATGATCTTATGGATAATGTCCTGAACGTCAGAAATATAAAATTGAAATTAGGTAAAACAAATAACTTCAGATAAAATATTTTATCAAACAGCTTTTATTTGTTTCTAAAAATAGATCAATGGTCTTATTAATGAAACATAGTCTATGTAATGAAGTTCGTCTGTTTCGAAATAACCACTTCTAATGAATTTGTTTCAACTCAATATACATATAGCACGAAGTTGATACTCTAAATGAATCACCAAATGTACATTTATCTTATATATTACAGGCGGTGTATTTATGAAAGGAGCGACAGCTGTTCACAAATGATAATGGAAATATAGCTGCATGTACAGATTGTTTTGTCATTATGTTCATGTTGATATAAAAACCTATATTTTGTTTTACATATCACGATTTAACATCGCCATGGCATAATTATTGTTTTTCGTATTTTTCGTAGAAAAAAAAAAACAAACTGTTGTTGATATAGAATCGCCTATTATGGAACGCATGCACATGAGTCCAGTGGTAAATTAATATTTGATTTGTATAACCCATTGAATTAAGGTCGATTTTCAGAAGAAATGTTTATAGCCAGTACATGATGGGTGTAACAAATAACGGGTCATTTGAGGAGATTTTATCAACGTCTTCAAAAATGGAAAAGAGTAAATCTTTATTTTCATATGTGTTAATTGGATACGTACTCATGAAACAAAAAAATAAGAAACAGAAGATACAGAATGAAAGTTAATTTTATCTCCAATTGTACCAATTTCTGTTGAATCGCATACAAACTGTTGACAAATAATGAATACGAGACACAAGATATCTTCTATCATTATGCCTTAGCAGTCTAAAGTATAATCGAGTTTGATTGTTCAGTGACATTTATAGAGGTCGTTTGCACTTTTGTGTGTGTGTGTTTGGCATCACTCGTGGATGTGACATCATTTTATGTATTTACCGGTTGGTGGCATCTTTACCGCCATACCTGAAGTCAAACATAGTGAAATTAAATATCTATATCAGACATTTGCAGTGGATGGATATATTCATATATTTTTCAATTTTGACGAAATCGTTAGATATTTTATTTGTTTATGCTTGGCCTCAAACGAAAGGACAACAGGCTCATAGTCATTGTAATTCACTTGCCATAATTAGACGGTATGCTAATAATTTTGAGCTAAAACTTATTTAGTTATAATCAGACTTGAATATATCCGTTAATTTCTTGATCTTATTAATAATGATCTCACTGATTCTACAGTCAAAGTGGCTTTAACATTTTATTTGAAATAATTTACAAAGGTGGTCAGGAAAATAAACAATAGTTCATGAGCTATTTACCTTTCTGTATGAACATCTTGATTTTTTTTCGTTTTCTATAATTTTCAAGCAAAGCAATGCATTTTTTACTATACTAGGTATTAATATGATATTATGGTAACAGACGAAATTAGAAAAGGCTTAATGATGTTTTTGTTGATGTTTTTTGTCATTGTATTTAGATGCGAATCTATTACATGTCAGGAGAAATAGGGAGATCAATTAAAACAATGTTGTACAGAAAAGTGCTTGGAACATTCAATAATTTTTAAATTGCACTTTCTTTTACATGTTTAAGATTTATTGACATCAGATATGTATAAACTTAATGAATTATTTCATACTTTAGTTTTTAAAATAGTGAGTCAAAATACAACGAAAAAAAATAAAACTAAAAAACGGTTGACTTAGATCATAGTCAATTTTGTTTGTGTATTTTTGTCAAAACACTATACATATAAGCATATTGAATTCAACATTTCATAAATATTTAGAAAAATTGTATAATCTTCGAACACGATAACAAAATATCATGATAAATCTCTATTTCAAACAAGCTTTCAAGATTGGTTTTTGATGTTACAAATTATCTCGAATCATTTTATTTTCTAATCCCTTACGGACAAATCTGTTCCATGGCACATGCTTTTCTAATGGCGTATCTATTGTTTCCGAAAATACTAGTGATGTTAGTACAATTAAATCGCTCCAAAGGGAATTTAAAAGACCACTATCGACTTTATTTTACTTTACTTTACTTTTTGAAATGATAAATTATGTCGCCGCCGTCATTATATGAGAGACCTGACATTCACATTGTCATGAAAGCTATATATTTTATATGCTTGAAGATTCCCGAGATACCAGTGTGACAACTTTGTCTATTCCGAGCAATTGAAAATATGTGATTTCTCCAGAATATGACATTATTCAATTAACAGTTCAGTTTCAGAAACTTTTTCGGAATGACTCCAGACATTAATGTTATTGCCTCACATTTCATTTTCATTTCGTATGTGGAGAAATATTTCCTAAGATAAAGCAAGACAAATAAATGTTCTCTTCTAAGTTTTAATCATAATGGTATTATTGATGAATCCGTTTCTTAAAACAGAAATGAAACAAACATTAGAATGATTTATTCATTTTGTAGGATTAAACAATTAGAAAAAGCGTTTCCAATTGCCATAACATATTTTGTTCAATTCAATACTCATACAATGATGGATGTAACAAAAACTGAAGACGCCATTTAGACAATAACGGGTTAATCTTTCCTGAGTAGACAATGTTTTCATATGAACAGTTGATAATTAGATCCTATTCGGACCGCCTCATGAATTTTTCACGGAGGAAAACATCGTTATTAGAGTTCCTATTGACATTATCTAAGAAACAGACGTAAATATGCCTAAGTGAAACATATGGACTATTTGAGCTTATTCGTGGTTTATTATTCAAATGGAGTAATGGTTTCTTATATTAAAATAGTTTGTAATTAAGTATTGTTTATCACGTGAATAAAAGGGAAAAGTATTAAGAAAGACACATTAATACATACTGTATTCGGCTGATTTACAATGAGTTTTCCATCTCTTATTTTAGCAACGGCCTCCGGAGAAAGGTCTGCAGCTAAGGAATGTGCTAAATGGGAAAATGAACAGTTATGTGCTGAAATAGACAGCTTAGGGCGTGAAATTAAAAAGCTCAAACAAATTGTTGACCATTTGTCACGAGACTATGAAGATTCTAAAGGATATGATCCACTTAGACGGTATGAGAAATTAAAAGGAATGATTAAAAGGACAATAATGCATTTAAGACTAAATCCAGAGGGACCAAATACGGTTCAAAATATTGGTGTTGGAGGATTAGTCCAAGGATGCAAGGACTTCAGCCATCAAGCCGAAAGTGCCAGGCGAAGAGAAAACAAATATGCCAGTTAGTTTACTTTGATATACTCTTGTCCTTACTAAATTGTGATATGTTAAGATATAATTCTTAAACTAATTAATGTTTTACCACAAATTTATCAATATTCAATAATCTAAACTTAATATTTTACAACATAATACTGCATAAGAATGTGTAGGACGTTTTCATATTTTCATAAAGGACTTGTCTTATTAACTTTAACATTTGACATTGGCGATTTTGAATGTCCTATAGAAATATTCTTATTAAGCATTTGTCTGGAATCAATGAAATCTAAAGTCGTTGTAAATAAAATTTATGTATTTTTATTTACTATCAAAAGCCATTTCCGAGACGTGAACTTGTTCTTATATAAAAGACTGCTTCTTACACATTTTCATGAAATATAGCCAATAACACGACAGTCAATTACTTTTACGTCATCAAAATAGACACGAGGATCAGCTATCGGTTGATAAAACGTAGTTTATATTCATGTTTATATGAACACCAAAGAACGATTGTACTATATCGATGGGAAACATGCTTATATTTCTACAGCCAAAAGTAGTTATTAACACAGTTGCTGCTCTATTATATACTCTAGATGAAGGCTTATAATTCACAATTGATGACTTATTTCACCACCCATTTAATAACATATCATTAGATCTAAAAACTTTGGTCTTTGCAAACCAATATCATCGGTATTGTTACTTATGTTTGAAATTAGTTTCAGTTTTATGGAATAATGGTCATAAATAAACTAACTTGTGTTTATATATCTTAATTAAATTATAGGAGTGTTGTGGTTATTATTACAAACTATTTAAAGCACGGAAGGGCACCTAAGCTCTTCCTCCACCAGTAAAGCTGGAACGTCGCGATATGACCTTTACTGTGTCGATGTGACATAAAACCCAAAACAAACAAATAAACTATTTATGATTTAAATTATTCTGAATATTAATGTTGTGCTAAATACAAGTCTTTACACATTCAAATGTTCACATGATTTGGAAAATTTTACAGAACAAAAGAGTTTATCAATTAAGGCAATAAGGAATCCCACAATTTGGTTCAGACTGCAGACATTCAAACGTCCATTACAAAATGTATCAATGTCATTGCTTATTGGTAGCTTGTACAATACGTGGAGTCCAATCAATAAAAAAATCTCGATTAATACAACGCTATCAAGTTTCTTTAATAAGCTCAGTGTCTTATCTTTTGTAAGTCATTACTAAACCTGACGTGTCCTTATATGTCGGACTGAGACAAAATAACGGTATGTTTATATCAGATTGTTCACATCAAAAGGTTAGGATATACAAATATGCGTGATGCATAAACTCTTAGAAGGACATTAGCAAACTAGCAAAGGATAGTATTCAGATTTATCAGATCTGTACAATTTCTAAAAACTTTCTTTGATAGATAATCAATACGTGTAGTTAAAGCAACATTTCCTATGCAGAAAAAAAATGTTTCGTTTGTTCACGTTGTCCAAAATAACTTGAAACAGATTCATTCTTTGAAATAAATGAAGTTAGAAAAAAACTTACAAAGTTTGTTGGCAAGAATGGTAAACTCATAAATTGTAGTTTGCATGTACAAAAAACCCGTTAATATTCATACAAATTTTGTTGTAAAATTGTTTTACAATGTGCAAGTACATGTATCATTATGCAGTGGCTTGTAATATTTCCACAATAAATGATCAATGCAAGTGCCATTCAAATCCGCGTTATATTCTTTATTTTAGAGATGTCAAGACAAGAGTTACAAGATGAAAATATCCTTTTTTCAGATCAAGTTCGAGAACTACGTCGTAAATGTTCTATTATACGTGGCATTATTGATACACTTTACAAACATTATGAAATGTCAAAAAGAGCTCCTGTTAATCAGCGATATAACATGCTTAAAGTTATGATAAAGAAAGTTATACATGAAGAATTGATATAGTTGATGATCCAATTTTATGTCATATCTCTTGAGAATGTCAGTGTCGTTATTAAACAATTCATTCTAAGATTACAATCAAACAAACATGCCGAGAGATTTATGTGTATGTTGCTGAATTGTACTTTAAATATTACCAATATATTGTGAATATAATTAACTTAAATTTTGAAGTAGTTTTGTAAATGACGTTTTAATTAAATAGTGTATATGTGTACATATGTTATCTTGTCTGGGGTTATTCATTTTATATGAATATGTAATAAATTGCAAGAAGAACACAACCCAGTTGCAATTATGATATACTTTTGTTTCAAAGCTGTACAGACAAAGTGTACCAAGGAAATATGTTTAGATATAATAGTGTACAACAAGAATAAGTTTATAAAAAAAAAACGTTAATAAGGTGATGCCTTGGAAAAAACCCATAAATTCCATGTAAAATTGTAACAGGACTTTAGTAAAACTACCCCGGGACATATATTTCAAGATATTTGTCCATAGGGAATTAAAAATTGTGACTGGATGTCGACAAAAAGCAATGCAGATGCACGATAATGCGAACGTAAATATATTGGCAATGATAGAATATTTTAAAATACTCATTGATAATAAATTGAACAGGCAAAACATGCATGGTACCATTAAGTATTGCAGATATGACTTACATATTATTTTGAGTTTTAGTCCTTGTGTATATCGTGCTTTTATCAGGTTATTATGTAGTGTGTTTATAGATTGATTTATGAATGCATCATTAAAAACATTATTTGCATGCTCTTCAACATGTGTTAGTTCAGTTTATATCACTTATCTTGATCAATTGTTAAATATTTAACAAAAGCTACCGGGATTTTGATATTGCCTGTAAAATAGATGTAAATATTCTTACAAGTATTTCTTATATAATCTAATTTATATTTCGTCCATTTTTTGCTTTGGTCAAATTGCTTCGTAATTTAGTTCAATAAAGAATTCATATACCTTAACCAGACATTTCTATTAAACTAGCTTAAAGATCCTGTATGTTGTAATTAAGGAGGTGATAACATTTAAGTGAAATTGTTTATATGTATATAATTATTCTTTTAAAACAATTTCCAAACATCCAAGAATATGTTAAATGTGTGCTGCAAATTTTATTCGCGTTAAAAGTAATCATTAAAATCTATGCGTTCATTTGTTATTGATAAATTTGGCTTAGGCTTTATCGAAAATAGATTTCTAATAACCTCCTTTTATTTACATGAAATGTAAATTCGGTAATATCTTTACAAATAATACTTTTTTGAACTTACAACATTGATAAACCCTTAAAGAACATACAATACAATTAACAAAAATAAATGTAATTAAAGCAATAATGAGGATTATGTGAATTGGAAATTATCTGCTGATATCTATTCAAACATTTTCTAGTAATTAGGTTTCATACACTTTATGTTTTTTAAGTTATTTAAAGCGTATGTGCACTGTAATAATTATAGTTTTTCTGCAACGCGATTGCGTTATCTTCAATAACCTGTGACATGTTTACAATCACACAATTGCCATCTTCAATTTGCAATGACAATTTTATTAGAATACAAATTATATACATGTATGGAGATCTAGACAATGTTATAAGACGTGGAAGATAATTATCTTAGAAGTTTGTCTGTTGTTTTTTTTCAAACACTATAAAGTTGATATTTGATTCATTAGTTATAAACAACTACAGTTTTTACAAAGAAGTCTTATAGTTTTCTTTTATTTCTGCTTTTTTTGCGAATTTCACAAATGTCATTTTTGACGAGTTGCATACTAAGCTATCATTATTTTACAGTTTCAAACCTTTATTTAATACAAGATTATAACAAACAATGCAGTTTGTATTTATTCATTTAAAAGGTCGTTAAAATATTTCAAAAATTTGCAAGCCAAATATTACATCAGCTATTTATAATTTTTATAAAATATAAAGATTGTTTAAGCAAATCATTTCTTCTTTAATTCTTTTCAAGCAAAACATAGAACTTAAAAGTGACATGAAACAGCCGTTGAACTTGCACTTTCCTGTACCGTCCATGAACAGGCTCAATCAAACCGAGCCTGCAACATATTTTCTTTTGCCGTGTTTAGCTTTTTAGGTATTCTGTTTTTCTCTATTTTGTCGTCAGTCATTACGTCAAATCTTGTCTTATTTTGTAAGGAAATTATTTCGACCTGTTAATAAAAGAGATTTCTTTAATTCTTAAATCTAAAATCTGTTGTCACTCCACTCATATTTTTGGACAAAAATTAATTGTGTATATTGCGCATGTTCGTGGTGATGGTCAATATACTCAAATATGTATTGAGTATATTGCCAAATGCTCGTAACGATGGGCAATATATTTTATTTGTAGTGAAGATGGTTTGATATGCCACTGTTTGAAGTTATTAAGGTAGACAAATAGGGTGTAAATCTATAAATCAATGTTCGTGTTTGATATTATAAATTATAATATATCTTTCAAGACATAAATGAAAACTCATTGTGTTCCCTGTATTTTTAAACAAATCTAGTACAGCGAGCCTTATTGTCAAAAACGTCTTCAATCAACACAGATTAGAAGAGCCTACATGTTTCTAGTAATTCACATAGTTGTCATGATTTATGGTAAGATGAATAATTCACAACGATTCTTTTTTAAATCTAAACTCTTTTATTGGTAATTTCCTTAAGTACTAAAAGATGCGATTAAAGGAATTATTTCGCAACAAAGTACATTGTGCAATTATAAGGACATTAATCTTCTTTACAAATGTGTTAACTGTTTATTAATGCAATCGGTCGATCGCATGTAATGCCTACGTAGGCGGACTGTGCCAATATCGCACATTGTTTAGCAATACAATAGCCTTATATTTTGCTTCATAGCAAAGAGACAAGTATAAAATTCAAATTAGGAAAAACAAATAATTTCAGATAATACATTTTGTCAAAAAGCTTTTATTTGTTTCAATATTCTTACTTATGATACATAGTCTATGTAAAGTAGTTCGTCTGTTTCGAAATAACCACTTCAAATGTACGCTTATTTACGTATAACAGTATATGTTATACACACGATGCCTTCAAAGAATTAAAGAAACAAATCACGTCCGAGGTCCTACGGCCAAATATTGTCCCGCGAAATGTTAAACAACATTAAAACGTTCAGTCCAGTTGAAGAAATATGACATTTCAGATATGTTCAACATAGCCAATACATACTAAACTTAACATTGAATAGGTTTCTGTTAACTTCATATTTCACCCAATATTGTAAGACATTGACCTGCTCTCTGACCGTTTCTAACAATCTAACCTTAATACAAGCATCGTTTAATTAAACGTATAAATATATTTATTTCAACTCAATATACATAGAGCAGGAAGCTGATACTGTAAATGAATCACCTCATGTACATTCATGTTATTTATTATAGACGGTGTATTGATGAAAGGAGCGACAGCTGTTTACATATGATGATGGAAATATAGCTGCAGGTACACGGTTGTTTTGTCATTATATTCAGGTTGATATAAAACCTGTATTTTGTTCTACATATCACGAGGTAACATCGTTATGGCATAAAATTAGTTTGTCTTAGAAATCAAAACTGTTGTTGATATAGAATCGCCTATTATGGAATGCATACACGAGTCCGGTGCTAAAGTAATATTTGATTTGAATAACCAGTTGATTAAAGGTTAATTTTCAGAAGAAATGTTTATAGACAGTACAGGATGGGTGTGATAAATAGTGGGTTTCATCTGTACAATATCAAGGAAAACGTCATTTGAGAATATTTTATGATGACCAACGTCTTCAAAAATGGAAAGGAGTGAATCTTTATTTTCATTATGTGTTAATTGGATACGTACTCGTGTAACAAACAAAGAAGAAACAGAAGATACAGAATGTAAGTTAATTTTATTTCCAATTGTACCGAATTCAGTTGAAACGCATAGAAACAATTGAAAAATAATAAATACAAGATACAAGATATCTTCTATCATTATGCCTTAGTAGTCTAAAGTAAAAGCGTGTTTGATTGTTTAGTGGCATTTATAGAGGTTGTTTGCTTTTTTGGTTGTGTGTGTTTGACCTCACTCGTGTATGTGACATCATTTTATGTATTAACCGGTTGGTGGCATCTTTACCTCCATACCTAAAGTCAAATATAGTGAAAGTTAATATCTATATCAGGCATTAGCAATGGATGCATTTCTCAATCAAACATCTTGATATTTTTTCGTTTTCTATAATTTCCTAAATACAAGCAATGTAATGTTATTGATATGATATTATGGTAACAGATGAAATAAAAAAAGGCTTAATGATGTGTTTATTGATGTTTTTGACATTGTATTTATATGCGAATCTACTTCATGTCAGGAGAAATTACAAGATCAAGTAAAATAATGTTGTACAGAATAGTGCTTGGAACATTCAATAATTTTTAAATTGCACTTTCTTTTACATGTTTAAGATTTATTGACATCAATTATGAATAAACTTTATAAATTATTTCATATTTTAGTTTTTAAGTTATTGAGTCAAAATACAACGAAAATTATTAAACTAAAAACGGTTGACTTAGATCATAGTCAATTTTGTTTGTGTATTTTTGTGAAGAAATCATACATTTAAGCATATTGAATTCAACACTTCATAAATATTTATAAATTGTATAAATCTTCGAACACGATTACAAAATATCATAATAAATCTCTTTTTCAAACAAACCTTCAAGATTGGTTTTTGATGTTACAAATTATCTCGAATCATTTTATTTTCCAAACCCTTACGGACAAATCTGTTCCATGGCACATGCTTTTCTAATGGCGTATCTATTGTTTCCCCACATACAAGTGACGTTAGTACAATCAAATCGCTCCAAAGGGATTTTAAAAGACCACTATCGACTTTATTCCCCTGTACAAATTTACTTTTTGTGATGATAAATTATGTCGCCGCCGTCAATATATGAGAGAACTGACATATTACATGAAAGCAATATATTTTATATGCTTGAAGATTCCCGAGGTACCAGTGTGACGACTTTGTCTATTCCGAGCAATTGAAAATATGGGATTTCTCCAGAATATGACATTACTCAATTAACAGACAATTCAGTTTCAGAAACATTTTCGGAATGGCTCCAGACATTAATGTTATTGCCTCACATTTCATTTTCATTTCGTTTGGGAGAAATATGTCTTAAGATAAAGCAAGACAAATAAATGTTCTCTTCTAAGTTTTAATCATAATGGTATTATTGATGAATCCGTTTCTTAAAACAGAAATGGAAAAACTGACGAATGATTTATTCATTTTGTAGGATTAAACAATTAGAAATCGCGTTTCCAATTGCCATAACGTATTTCTTTCAATCTAATACAACACATACCATGATGGATGTAACAAAAACTGAAGACGCCATTTAGACAATAACGGATTAATCTTTCCGCAGTAGACAATGTTTTTCATATGAACAGTTGGTAATTAGATCCTATTCGGACCGCCTCATGAATTGTTCACGGAGGAAAACATCGTTATTAGAGTTCCTTTTGACTTTATCTAAGAAACAGACGTAAGTTGCTTTGCAAAAATATGCCTAAGTGAAACATATGGACTATTTGAGCTTATTCGTGGTTCATTATTCAAATGGAGTGATGGTTTCTTATATTTATATATTTTATAATTAAGTATTTTTACCACGTGAATAAAAGGGAAAATATTAAGAAAGACACATTAATATATACTATAATATTCGATTGGAATACAATGAGTTTTCCATCTCTTATTTTAGCAACGGCTTCCGGAGAAAGGTCTGCAGCCAAGGAAGATGCTAAACGGGAAAATGAACAGTTATGTGCTGAAATAGACAGCTTAGGGCGTGAAATTAAAAAGCTCAAACAAATTGTTGACCATTTGTCACGAGACTATGAAGATTCTAAAGGATATGATCCACTAAGACGGTATGAAAAATTAAAAGGAATGATTAAAAGGACAATAATGCATTTAAGACTAAATCCAGACGAGCCAAACACGGTTCAAAATATTGGTATTGGAGGATTAGTCCAAGGATGCAAGGACTTCAGCCATCAAGCCGAAAGTGCCAGGCGAAGAGAAGACAAATATGCCAGTAAGTTTACTTTTATATATTTTTGTCCTTATAAAATTGTGATACGTTAAGATATGAATCTTAAACTAATTAATGTTTTATCACAAATTTATCAATATTCAAGAATCTTAAGGTAATATTTTACAACACATACTGCGTACGAATTTGTAGGACGTTTTCATATTTTCATAAAGGACTTGTCTTAGAAACTTTAACATTTAATTACTAATCTAAACATTGGCGATTTTCAATGTTCTATAGAAATTTTGTTATTCAACATTTGACTGGAAACAATGAAATCTAAAGTCGTTGTAAATAAAATCTATTTTTTTATTTACTATCAAAAGCCATTTCCGCGACGTGAACATGTCCTTATATACATCACATCTCACATTAAAATTAAAACTGCCCTCACTTCGCATATGATTTGGATTTCATAGACTGCTTCTCACACATTTTAATGAAATATAGCCAATGAAACAAAAGCCAATTACTTTAACGTTATAAAATAAACACGAGAATTAGCTATCACGTCGTATATATTCATGTATTATATTAAATATTAAAGAAGGACTGTACTATATCGATGGGAAACATGCTTATATTTCTACATCAAAAGTAGTTATTACCACAGTTGCTGCTCTATTATATACTCTAGATTAATGCTTATAATTCACAACTGATGACTTCATTCCCCACCCATTTTATAACATGTCACTAGATCTAAAACCTTTGGTCTTTGCAAACCAATATCATCGGTATTGTTACTTATGTTTGAATGAAATAAGTTTCAGTTTTATGGAATAATGGTCATTTATAAACTAACTTTTGTGTATATATCTTAATTAAATCATAGGATGTGTTGTGGTTAATATTACAAACTGTTTATGGTTTGAATTATTCGGAATAAAAATGCTGTGCTTAATACAAGTCATTACACATTCAAATGTTCACGTGATTTGGAAAGTTTTACAGAACAAAAATGTTTATCAATAAAGGCAATAAGAAATTTCACAATTTGGTTCAGACTGCAGACATTCCAACGTCCCGTTACAAAATGTATCAATGTCATTGCTTATTGGTAGCTTGTACAATACGTGGAGTCCAATAAATAAGAAATTCTCGATTAATACAACGCTATCAAGTTTCTTTAATAAGCTCAGTGTCTTATCGTTTGTAAGCCATTACTAAACCTGACGTTTTCTTATCACTCGGACTAAGACAAGATAATGGTATGTGTATATCAGACGATTTCACTGGCAAAAGGTTAGGATATACAAATATGCGTGCTGCTTAAACTCTTACAAGGAGACTAGAAAACTAGCAAATGTTGCACTATGAAAAAAGATTTTATTTAGATTTATCAGATGTGTACAATTTCTAATAAACTTACTTTGATAGATGATAAATACGTGTAGTAAAAGCAACATTTCCTATGCAGAAAGGATGTTTCGTTTGTTCATGTTTTCCACAATAACTTGAACCACATTCATTCTTTGAAATAAATGAAGTAAGAAAAAAACTTACACAGTATGTTGGCAAGAATGGTAAATTCATAAATTGTGCTTGCATGTATAAAAAACGTTAATATTCATACAATGGAAATTGTGATGTATAATTGCTTTTTAAATGTACAATACATGTATCATAATATAATTGAGTGCAATATTTCCACAATATATGATGTATGTATATACCGTTTACACCCGCTTTATATTCTTTATTTCAGAGATGTCAAGACAAGAGTTACAAGATGAAAATATCCAGCTTTCAGATCAAGTTCGAGAACTACGTCGTAAATGTTCTATTATACGTGACATTATTGATACACTTCACAAACACTATGAAATGTCAAAAAGAGCTCCTGTTATGCAGCGATATAACATGCTTAAAGTAATGATAAAGAAAGTTATACATGACGAATTGATATAGTTGATGAACCAAGTTTTATGACATAACTCTTTAGTATGTCGCTGTATTTATAAAAAAATTCATTCCAAGATTTCAATACAACAAACATGCCGCGGGATTCATGTGTACATTGCTGAATTGTACTTTAAGTATAACGTGTCGATGAGAAGAATATCTGTGTCAGAACAATCGTCTTACTATCCTTTACAAAACATAAGCAAAAGCCGTTGTTTTGGTTGCAAATCATTTATTAGCTAACACTGACATTGAGACAATGACATGCAATATTTGACAGATAATTCACTAATCAGTATTTCAAACATTTTGGCAAATCGGCAAATTCAGCTGCTGCTTAGAACTGGCCGATGCATTAATTGAACAGCCACAATGTTTAGCTTCATAAAGGGACGAAATGTTTGCATATCAATTAAAGAGAGAAGAGAGGAGCTGATAAATTCAAGTAAATAATAATCTTTATAAAGGAAATAATAACCATCTGCTATCTGAATATGTTCAGAGGATCTTAAAATAAAACACATATCAGCGGATTCGTTTCTACTCCCTGTGCTTGGAAACCTGGATAATGTGTTCTTTATTTGTTTCGATTCCTGGATTTTATGACACAATGAACGTTTCCATTGGATGTTGTGTAGCTATATTCATTGTGTTAACGGAATAATTCGTGTTTTGTCGAATAGTGCATAAATAAAGGGTCCCGTTAATGCCACATAAACCTTTGGCCCGACACTTCTTCATAATGTGTAGATTTGTTTATGTAAAAATTATGTGTTTTATGTATGAAATAAAATTTTACTAAATTTAACTTAATACCGGGTAGTATGTTTTCTTTTTTCTGTAAAGAGTGATTAAATAGAAAAAAAACCTTCTAGCAAATTATCAGAACAAGTTTGATTTGTTGGTTAGAATTATTGATATGATAGTTGTTTTGAAACGAGCACAGATGATTCAGAATATCAATTTCAACAAACCTTGTTTTCGTAATTACTGTATGCGTGTGATATTAACTTATTTGTTTGTCTACATAAATATAATAAAAGATAAAAATAACCAATTTGTTGTGAATATAATTAATTTTAATTTTGAAGTAGTTTTTGTAAATGACGTTTTAATTAAATATTGTATATGTATAGATATGTTTCCTGGTTCGGCATTATTTTGCATATGAATATGTAATACATTGCAAAAATTATACAACCTATGTACCACCTTAAAGGGCAATTAAGCTATTCAGACATTGTCTGCTTTCGGTTTCGGTAGTGCACATCATATTAAATTATAGTTTTTAGATATTTTGAGATATAATATTGTTTACATGAAACAGTTTATAAAACAAAATATAAAAATATATAAGGTGATTGTCTGCAAAAACATATATTCCATATAAATTTATCAAAATTTTAGTATAATTATCCTGGTTCATATATTTCATAATATTTGTGCATACAAAATCCAAAATTATTATTGGCTGTCGCTCACTGGATTGTTTTGTCGAAACGGTAAATATATTTTCAATGTAAAAAAGTTTGAAATAAATTATTTCAACTGGTAACATTTAATATTCCAGATATAACTTACCTATTATCTTGAGTTTTCATCATTGTGTGTACCGTGCTTGTATCAGGTCATTCTTTAGTGTAATGCATCATAAAATATAATTTGCACGCTTACAGCTGCTCTTCAAAATTCGTTATTTCACTTTATATCACTCCATCTTGATCTATTGTTGAATATTAAATAAAATCTCCTGGGATTACGATATTGCCTGTAAAATTGATGTAAACATTTATTAATCTATTGTATTGCTAATTAAATTTTATTGTATATTTCATACACACTTAAATTTAATAAAATTTCAAATTGCATGGCAATTCAATTCCATAAAGAATTAATATACTTTAACCAGACATGTCTTATGATTAAAGTCTCTATTAATAACTGGTTGCTGACAACATTATTGCAATTACAAAGAACTGCAAAGACAAGTATATTTTAATTCAACTCAATTTGTCATTTAAAGTAAGTTTTTAATGCTTACCCGATGCTAGGGGACACAAAGGGTAACTTCTATATACTTTTACATATTACTGAAGTAAGTCATTTGTGAGGAGACATATTTAATCATGAAAGAAAATTAATGAACATTATGACGAAAGTAAGAGATCTTGAAGCAATTTAAGTCGGTTTAACATTTGTTTTGTTTTTTTACGAGTGAAAAAAAAGCACAACAGATTTTAAATTTGAATGCAACTTTATTCAATTTATTTCATATCTTAATCATCGCCTGTTTGAATTGACCAAGATCGAAGTAATAATGTTACAAAGAAGCTGGTTCCAAAGCATAACACAATGTGTGGGTTGGGGCGCTGGATAACGAGAATATGAAATTTTATAAATTCCATGTTTCTTATATTATCCTCAGAGAGAGAGAGAGAGAGAGAGAGAGAGGGAGAGAGAGAGAGAGAGAGAGGGAGAGGGGGAGAGAGAGAGAGAGAGAGAGAGAGAGTAAGTTTTCACTACATAATTAATCTAAAATAGTGAAAAACACAACCTAAAGAACGCCAAAAACGGCAAAGCTGAAAATATTGCAGGCTCGGGTTGATTGAGACTTTATCAATTATTTGAATACAATGTGTGTATGTGTAGGAACTCAAAACTGTGAAGTTATGCTTCATCTGAGGGCAAAATATTGACCTGAAAAGTAATTATGTGACATTAATTGATACTTTGTGTTTATATTTCTTTTGATTAATTCTTGGGTTTTATTTGCGTAAGATGTTATTTTTTTAGATTGTTGTGCTGTAATTAAAATCTGTTCACAATTTGTCATTTCTTTTTAATTTACTCGTTCTTTTGCCCATGAAATGTTTTCATATTTACCAATTTAAATGTTGAAATACTATTTCTATAAAACATCTTCCATAAATTGTATCATTTATCTTTGTATTCGTGTGTTTGCGCGCTAGTGTGTGTCAGTGTGTGTGCGTGTGTGATTGCGAGCATGTGTGTGCAAAACAGAACTGGTTATTTATCAGGGAATCAGGGACGAAAGTGTATAAGCGGCCAGGTAGCTCAGTTGGTGGTATTCAAATCTGAATTCCAAGTTGTCCTGTATTCGAATCGCGGTCTTCCTGTGAAATGCTTAAGTCGGTGCTAGGGGAATTGGACGGTAACTTGCAGCCTGTTACATTTTCAATTTTGTCGTTGTATGCCTTCTTTAGATATTTCGCTTTTCTCTATTATATGGCGACTATATGGCGACTATATAGGTTAATGCCTTCAGGGTCATTACAAAATATTGGCTATACCCGTAAAAAAATAATGACAAATTATAACCCAGCGGATGGGACCGTACACAGGATATAACTGTGTTATGAATGAAAAGAAAATCGAACAAAAATAACAAAAGATAAGAAAAACATCGATTTCTCGGTTCATATAACATTAAATTGTCCTGTGATTGATTTTATATTTTCCTTACTGCATTACTTTGTAAGACACGTTATGAAATGTCTTTACCTTTTACAAGAAAAAATAATATTATCTATTTAGTAATAACACATGTTAAATAACACATTAAAATGTATTTGAAATGCGTAACAGAAATAAGACAATAACAATTCTTTGACATGCAGTCTATTTAGTGTATGTAACCAATAGTAAAAGTAATTAGACTAAAAAGACAATGATATAATTACGCCAGAAGCAATTTGGGAAAAAGCTTTATGCCAAGTCCTTGCCAAAATCACATCATTTTACTGGAGTTAATTTATGGTCAACCCTAGCTAATACATAATACAATTGCCAAGGGATGTCGAAGAAACGCCAACACATTTCTGTTCACGTTATATGAAATATTGAGAGAGTTTAAACATTGTCGGGAAAATGTATACTTTTGCGTTGTGATAAACAATATCCATATGTGCATTGTAAACATTATATTTTACGGAAGTTTTAGATAGCGCATTGCTTTTGCTTCTGAAAAAATAATGTTTTCTTTTATATTTATTAGAATTGATTAAAATAGTTTAAATTTTGAGATGCTGAAATGTGAAATAAAGTAAATATACTTCAAAACAATTCACATTATAACCATGCATGGAATTTAGCTGCATTGTTATATCGATGTATGCATGACATTAAAAAGGAATATTTATACTAAAATAATTTTGACGTTAATAATTCAGTTTATTTATAATAATAATAATAATAATAATACAAGATTACTAGCTTGTACGAATGTGAATTGGTATCAATGTTTCGTACATTTTATAATAATAATAACCGAATAATCGCATGTTTATCGTATAAATGATTTGTAATCAATCACCCGAGTATGTCGGACTTCGTGCATTTGAACTCGAACCGTGCATAATTGTGCAACAACGCTCCCAAAATACATGTTATCCGGAACTCGACAAATGTGGGTTTTTCCAAGCTACAAACTTTTACCGCATAGCCTCATTGTGCACTACCCATCACAATAGATTAGCCAACCTGCTTCGCTGTTTTTCCATTTATATGATTACCAATTTGCTCAGTGTCAGTGTAAGGCAAATAGGAAAATCTTTTTATGTTTTTGCTTGTCTGAAAAAACACAAACAATATGATTACATAGGAAACAAGTTTATGTATTCCAGACATGGCTTATAGAAATAATCGTGCGTTTCAAAACCAATCAAGCATCCTTTACATAATTTATTGCTGCACTTGTCAGTATTAGAGCAATTATAATCCAAAGCAGGAATTTCGATCGAGTCTAGTAACTTAATTGTATTTGTGAACATTTAAGCAGCCTATGATAAAACTAAACGAAATAGATTTCTACGACTTCAGGTTTCCTATGTTTCAGTGATAATATCAAACAAATGTCCTAAGATATCTTACAATTAGCATGTGCATGTCAATGTTTTACAATGCATACAAAGTTTATAACACAAAATTGTACAACGAAGCTTTAAAAAGAAACTTACTGCATGAAAATAAAATATGTGTATGTATCACACGTTTGCTGAATAATGATAAGAAATTCGATGCTGTTTTGTAGAATTTAGTTAAGATTTTGACTTTAGATTTAGATTAGATATATTGTTCAAATTTATTTGACATGATGCAAGTTTATTAAAAATGTCAACGTTATTTAAATATCAAAGGGTTTGAACCATTTTAGTCTTTTGTATACGATTGTCGTGATATTTGTTTTTAATTAGTCGTCGCTGGTTTAAACTATTAATATGCCCCTGTTTTTTTAGTTTACAATTTGAGAATTAAAAATTCTTGTAATTCTTTTATAAAACTGGCCAGTGCAAACGTTGATTAATATCATTTATTGAGAACTAGGGACAACAATTTAATATGTAGAAGAATTGTAAATGTAATAGAAGAATTGGTTAAAAATATTCAACTAAAAAAATGTATAGTATGTCAGAATAGTTAATGGGTAATAATAGTTAGAGATTAGTTATACGAGTCCTTATACTAGGGTCTCGTGACGTATGACTTTGCCAGGTAACAATGTAACATTATTTAAGTGTAGTTAAAGACAAATTTATTGGCTTCCACGATTATCTTGTATTATTAATTGATATTGAATCATTTAAAGCTGAACTGCCTCATAGTTTCCTCACTTGAAACTTGCAGGTGGCATAAACTTAGAGCCTTATATTATGACGATAGAAAAGTAACAACTGCAAATGGATTCCCTTCCCTTTATACTGAATAATGAAACACATATAATGTTTACTTGTGTATAAAGAGACTAAATTTACCTTGATGATTTGGACTAATGCATTTCGAAAATGAAGAAGAAATTGGAAACTTATCAATGTATATATTTGAAGCAATCTTTTACTTACGAAACACTGTTCTTATTAATAAAAGAAAACAAATGTTGCTTCAAACGGTGAAAGGATGAGTATATTTTTCTACATGTATTTGTTTTCTTGTTTAACATTTGCACATACATTCTAATAGATACTATAGCAGTGCCCCATTTGCATATATGATATTATAAAACAGACCGAAAATGGTTTTGTGTAACGGAATTGTAATAGTAAAAACTCTTTGTTTTTAATTGTATGTGGTACCAAATTTAGGTGCTTAATTACACATGTTTTATGTTGTTGTTATTGGTCATAAGACTGTATAAAATATAAAGAGACTATATATAGTTTTATGTTCTGTGTACTCTTGTATTACATAGACATGTGGTAAATGTTCATGTTAATAATGCTCCACTTATGTTCAGATGCATAATAACAAAAAATATTATCCAAATTCAACTTATGTGCTTACTATGTAAAAGATAAGGACCAGGTCTACCTGGAATTAAATAGAAAATTTGGTTTATTTTGCAAATTATACCTTTATTGAAATTAAAGCGTTAAAAAAACCTTTCAATATTGGGTCATTTTTCAAAATAAAATTAAATAATGAATAATAAAATGAAAAATATTAATAAATAACGTGTTGTACTTTCTGAACTTATTAAAAACATAACCTACTTTACATTATTGAACGCAGACAATGACAGGCAAGTTTTAAGAAAATGTCGGAAATTTTCAAAACATCTGGCAGTGTTATGTAACATGTGGCTGTTAACGTTATGAACTGCACTCGCTTACAATTATATATTTCTTTACATTTAACAGGATGCAGAGGGTGAGGTGACAAATCTTGATAGAAATGTAAAAACACAGCAATAAATAATTTAATTTATTAATCGCTTATACACTAATTTGATCGTATAAAATTGTTTTTCCAACGGTTACATCGTTCACATACCTATTTTTAGAATTGTAATAGAAATTCTGGAAGTGACTCATCAAAAGTATATATATATTGTGCCAACACCATTTATCCATTACATTTCCATAAGAAACCAAAAAAATCATTAATGGAAAATAACCTGACTGTTATCTTATTACTATTTAACATTTGTCCGTTACATTGGTGTCCACAGACCTAACACCTTATCCTGATGAATCATCCACAATGAAATTATTTTAGTCTACTTCATAAGATGAACATACCTACACCTTTGAACTTGCATGTTTTATTTCAAACATTATAAATATATCATAGTGTTCTTTCTTAGAGTTTATCAGACAATGTTGTCATTTTATGGAGTATTTTTGATAGAAACACATTATGTTTCACCATTTACAATATCTTCCAGTCTATTGTCCGAGAGATCGTTTTTTTATCTTGATCCTAAAATATAATAAAAGCTAAACAAAGAAAATAATTTACGTAGACTTAAAAAAAATCATCAATGATGATCATATATACTAACCTTAAGTAATATGTATCATATTATATTATTTTGTGCGCGATATGATTGCATATGAATAACTTTTGTCATTTTTAATGGCACTATTCCCGACGAGCAAACACATGAACCGAATCTAAGAAAAGTATATAGGTATTTTTTAAAAAAATATAAATAATTACAATTAAACATACTTTTTGAGTTGCTGATGCAAATTATGATTATTGTGTCACCATAATTTCATCCCGTTTTTTTTAACGAAGTAGGGGATAATTCATCAATTTTGCGTTGAAGGTACATGAAGTAGGCTTAATTAAATATTAATATTTTATTTATACATTTGTACACTTGGTAGTGCTTTTACATATTAAGACAATTTTCTTTTTTATATAAAAAAGAAAGCAAATTAGCAAATATCCGGAGGCATGCTGTTTAAACAAATGACAATGGTAAACAAGGCATGGCGAACTTTAAAGACATGCGAAAATATTTTTAACAGTGTTAAATAATTAAGACACATGTTAAGAATAGTTTTTAAATGCATATAAACTTTTCTTTTTACCAGTATCGTTTTGAAATCACAAGACACATTTTTGAACTTTGAATATAGTCACAAAGAAAGAAAAAGCTGTCAAATCTAATTATTAGTTTTACAAGTTGCTGACGAGAGTATATAGCCAGAATGACATAAATATGATCCATCCAAGAGTAAATGGTAACTTTAGAGTTCAATATAACAACACCTTTACACTTTGCCAAAATTGTTTTTCATTTTATATTTTTCTTCACACGTACATGTGTAATCAATAACCAACGAATCTTACGGAAAATTCTACATTCTTAAAAACATTGTGACTGAGACTTTGGATTATATTATATTAGTATAGCAGCATATGATCCAAAATGAAAGAAAGGAAAAATCAATTATTATTATATTATGATAACTGTCAATTGCTCAAAAATATTGTTCTACTGCATAATTTTTGAATCATAGCTTGTGTATTTAAGTACATGTTTGTTTGTTGTTTTAATGACTTTTATTCAGAAATGCTTGAATATTTTGTGAGCAATGTTTTATTTTCCCAGATTGTGTTGAATACCTCAAATTTAACCTATATTCATAAATGATTTCTTGTGGCTTTGTTAAGATAGCGATAAGTGAGATTTGATTTATATGAGAAGTAATTTCAATGACTATTAAGACTTTATACTATATAAATTGCTGACAATATTTTATATGTTGGTCTTGATATGCCTCACTTTTTATCGTGTTTAAATGTTAAGTTCTGCTTAAGCCGGTGCTAGGAGACGTGGACAGTAACTTACACTGTCCAGTACCGTCCATGAACAGGCTCAATCAAAACGAGCCTGCAACATTTTTCATTTTGCCGTGTTGGACATTCTTTAGGGATTCTGTTTTCTCTATTAAGTTGATAATGGACAGTTCTAATTTGTTAGCTGGACAGATAACTTTAGAAATTGCACTGGTTAATGATTAGATTTCAATTTGTGTGCGTATTGTACTGTATAACTAAAGATCATTAAGTTAAACAGTTCAATATGAAGTGTTTCATTCCTTAAAATGTCCTTCTTCTATTGTTAAAAATTCAATAATCCAAATCAGTTTGAATACGAAAATTGTGAAATACGCACAAGTTGACCTTATAATATGCAGGCCCGATCAACAAAGTCTTAATACTCGCTGTAGCCTTTTATACTGCGGCAGTCATATTTATCTCCCTTTTGGTCAGATAGATGTGTATCGGTTAATCAACATTAGGTTTCTGAGCCTAGTACATTTGCTCTAAGTTCATCTAATTTTAGCAAACAGATTCTACAAATATTTAAGTTAAGGACAGAAACACATTTGGATCCAAAAAATATATATAAAATTGTATTATATATATAGTATAATATAATAATGTTCAACAATTAGGATGATAATGATCAGGCTAATAAACTTTAGTTGTGACATTTCGGCACAATAAATAATTGAAAAAATAGCAAGAAGAGATATCGACCTGATTGTATCTAAACGAAGTTATGCTTTACTGACATATTCATAGTTTAAGATAATAAGAATAATATCAAAAAATAACAATAACTTAGAGAGGACACTCAAGTTTTACCGTTTATTTTTTTATCATGTCTTAGCATCTTTACAATCAAATCCCCTATTGTCAAAATGAAATATCGCAGAAAGGTTTTTTTTAAATTGAAAGAATATATCGCTTGATATAACATATTATCAGACTGATACGGGTGTTCAATCACAGAACGTCAATAATTATCTATTTTATTCGGTTTACATTTTCAATGTCATAAAACACTTGTAAATCACGATCAACGCCTTATTTAAACCAATGTATTCTTTTGATTTCAAACATATATGTATAGAAATCATCATACTGTTGCTTACAAGTTGAAACTTGTTTATCATTGTTTATTATCATACTGTATATAATTTTTAAGTTTTTTTTTCACTTAATGTTAGACAATTTCAGAGGTCTATTACATTTATATGTAGCTCTTTATGACATTTATATAGCATATATGAAATGTATTAAAATTGAGAAACAAATATAACAACTATTCTAGCATCACAAATCAATAATGTCTGAAGGACAATCTTGTGCGTTTTCTTTCAATTGAGAATTAATTTGTGAAGAAACGGTTCTTTTATATCCAATATTGCCTTTTAACTGTTGTTAAACTGTATATGTTTATTAAATGTAGCTAGATAAAACTGAATATGAACATATATATAATACATACTAATAACACATAAAAACGAATTATTAAATTATAAAAGCATTCATTACAAAAGTAGCTTTGTTGTTTCAGAATAAGTCATACCTAATTAATGTAGTTCAAAATTGACTTTTGTTGAATATAACATATTATTCCAAATGCTGTAAACTCAAGCAATAAGCCATAATTATACTGTACAACGATTATATTGATGCATGTATGTAAATGCACTATCATTTGAAATATAACGACTGCACCAAAAGCATTTTTGTTTTAACAACATCTATATCAATTCATCATGTATAACTTTCTTTATCATTACTTTAAGCATGTTATATCGCCGCATAACAGGAGCTCTTTTTGACATTTCATAGTGTTTGTGAAGTGTATCAATAATGTCACGTATAATAGAACATTTACGACGTAGTTCTCGAACTTGATCTGAAAGCTGGACATTTTCGTCCTGTAGCTCTTGTCTTGACATCTCTGAAACGATAGAAGAATACGGTTAGGCGCAATTATTTTTGCAACACTATGAAATTTGGTTGTAAGAAATTTTATAATATGTTTCTTTAAGTCAATCATGTATTGACAAAAGGAATATATAATAAAACTACATGTATATACCTCTATATTAAAGATAAATTAAAATTGATTTTGGTTACGCTTGCAAAGTACTACTTATTTAAATACATCGCAATTTTGTTTTAATTTTAAAAGTCTTGATTAATGTGAGTGAAAAAAAACCATAGTTACACAGTAAAAATCAGAAGTTTTGCATTGAATTTAACATTTAAGCAAAGGTTTAATTTAGAATAACATGTTCGGTATATACGTATACATTGACGCGTAGTGTTTATTATAGCAAATTTAATATGCAGTAGTTATAATGGAACACGTCTGTAACATGAAATGATTTCTTGGCTTAAAGTACTCTAACTTAATACGAAATGGCATTTAAATTTCCCACAAGGATAAATTTTGCTTCACTAACATTCAATGAAGATATAATATAACGAAGTACAATCATGCAAGACTTTCCCAATGTTTCAATAAAATGGAAAATGCCATTTCGTCTCTCCCACTCACGTTGAATTCACAAGTATATCATTACATCAATTTGTATTATGTGTTATCTTCAGTTTTGCTTACTGCAATCGCAAAGCTTACTCCTCATTAAAATAAATAACTGCTCAGAAACAAGTGATAATCCGCTATATGGCCTTAATGGTGATATTCTCAAAAAATTTCTTCAAATATAGTTTAAAAAAATAGTCTTTGTCGAAATCATAACTGCTTTTGATGGATATGAAAACATCAATCTTTTTAACAATTATGTATGGTTTTTATATATATGCCCGACACTTAAACTATTTGTTGTATAGGACAAATATGTACCAAAAGTTTGCTGACGAATCAATATTAATTCATTTCTTCTATTTGTCAAAATTCGATCAAATTTTAATATTTCAACCATAATCATATATTTTCGATTATATTTATATTTGGTATAAAAATGTTTTTAATCTAGTTAAATTTCTTTTAAGTACTTGTTGATAATTGGTTTTATTATGTATTTTGTATAATTTCCGATCAATCAGATAGAATGCTTTATCATAGAATTATAAAAACAAAACCGTTATATAAAAGTTTATGCAAAAGTATAAAAGTGTCCAACAAAAATTTTTAATTTAAAAAACTGTGATGTAGCTAAAAGACGTGCACAATATGTTAATACAGTAAGAAAACGCTAATAACATAAAATAAGAAAGTAACATTTACTAGAATATTTGTTTTCTCTTCTCCTGGCACTTTCGGCTTGATGGCTGAAGTCCTTGCATCCTTGGACTAATCCTCCAACACCAATATTTTGAACCGTGTTTGGCTCGTCTGGATTTAGTCTTAAATGCATTATTGTCCTTTTAATCATTCCTTTTAATTTTTCATACCGTCTTAGTGGATCATATCCTTTAGAATCTTCATAGTCTCTTGACAAATGGTCAACAATTTGTTTGAGCTTTTTAATTTCACGCCCAAAGCTGTCTATTTCAGCACATAACTGTTCATTTTCCCGTTTAGCGTCGTCCTTGGCTGCAGACCTCTCTCCGGAAGCTGTTGCTAAAATAAGAGATGGAAAACTCATTTTAACTTATTTAATAGAAATAATTATATATTCTCATATCCAAAGAAATATATATAACACTTCTGTATTGAATAGCACTGAAAGCCCGATAACGTTCCTAAAACAGTGTAAATGTTACGAATTTTGCAAATTTACACACACTTATTGATATTGTTCGACGCGGAGCTACGCTGCAATTTCCGTCTAATCTCAAGGTAAATGTCTCGAGAAATACTGGTTATAGTGTTTACCCTGGTGACAATTCATGAGGCAGTCCGAGATAGATGTAATTACAAACACGTTCTAAGACGACCGTTTATTCTCTCTAGAGATTAATCATTTGTTGTTTTGATAGATTTTATTGTGCTTATAATAATCGGTCACACTCTTGTCATAACAGTACCGAATTGTTCCAAGTTGCGTTGCTTTTATAGATTTGCAAATTATTCCAACTAAAATGTTATCTTAACTTTCAAACGTTAAGTGTGTTTTTACTTTTGATATGATTTATCAAAATAAGATAGAATCCATGAACATACGATTTATCAAATGATTTTAGCCGATTAATTTGCTATTTTCTCTACTGATCGATATGAAGCAATATTTCCCTTCAAAATGAATATAAAAAAATGTGAAAATGTCTGAAGGAATTCTGAAAATGCTGCAAAGCACAACCGTTCTTAAATTGAATAACATCATATTGTGGAGAAAATCCCATATTTTCAATTGGAAGTAATACATAAAGAAGTCGCCATGGGATTATCGAGATCCTGAGGCCCATAAAACATTCTGGTACTTGTGTAAAATGTCAGGTTTAGACTAATATAATTATTGTGGGGAAGCAGTTTACCATATAAAAGCAGATGTTCATAAGAAATTTAAGTTGTTAATCGATGATTCTTTAGTCCACAGGGACAAATTTTATGGAAATAACATCGCTTAGATGTAATTGAAATGATTCTGTTTTTTTAAAGTGTGCCCAATGCGAATGATTACTTAATAGATACAAATTTCGAACATTACAAAAAAAAGAAGAATTTTATTGGTATTAAAATTGAAACGAAAACAAAAAATAAAGAACTAAATTCAATCAAGTCTTGTTTATAAAAATGATATATCATATTCAGTTTCTTGGGTAATATGCAATAAATGGACAAAGATCAACAATAAAATATATTGTAAAGGTACATATTTAACGTTTGCAATATATAATCACCAGCTGAAACAAGTAAAATGAATTACAAATGCCCAATTTATTAGCTCTCTAATGTGAATGACAGAATGTGAAAATTTGAGATTTATCATACATATGTTTTTGGTGCATATTTTAATCAGTTATACGAAGGTGCTTCAATAAATTCGTAAACTAATTCAATAGCGTGAAAATGATTTAATTCAAGTACCTAAAATGATTACTTCTTCTCAAAGTAACGTCCCATGCACGATTTACACTTGTCCCATCTCTCGACCCATGACTCTAACACCTGTTGTAGCCCGTCACAACATGTGTTGTAGCCCGTCACGTGAAATCTCCCGCAGCTGTCTGTCCACGGTACACCTCAGTTCCTTTCTTGACTCAAATTTCGTACCACGAAAGTTGGAAACAGCCAGAAGTCACAAATTGCTAGATCCGGGATGTAGGGTGGGTGCGGTAACAGTTCGATGTCGAGATTTTCTAGTGTATCCATGACAACGTGGCTTGAATGGCTCGGCACGTTGTCGTGATATACCTAATATGAATCCGGACGCGCTTTCTCCTTATTGCCGCCACGAGTTCCGTTCTAAGTTATGTTGCATAATAGTTCCCAGTGACTGTCGTTTTAGGAGGAACAAAGTGGTTTAGCACTATGCAACACCGTGTGTATCACAAAATATAATGACCCTAACCTTCCCGGCTGACTTGGAAATTATCGCTTTTGTAAGGGAAGGCGAGGAAGGATACTTCCAGACAGAACTCTGACGTTTGCTTTCCAATTCAAAAAAGTGAAATCATGTTTCATCACATGTTATCACTCGATTTAGAATGATAGATATCATCACTCGATCATATTTTGTGATATGCTGGCTTCATAACCTTTGATCCCCTATTTTACTTGGGGGAACATATGCTGCTTTTCATGGAATGACACTTGCGTGTCACATTGAAGGTTCCATGATTATCGCCATATGAACACATCTGCGGATGTTTTAAAATTCAAAATTGTACCAGTTCATGTTGAATTCTGCTTAAGCCGGTGCTAGGGGCGTTGACGGTAGTTTGCACTTGACAGTACCGTCCATGAACAGGCTCAATCAAACCGAGCCTGCAACATTTTCAATTTTGGCGTGTTGGGCTTTCTTTAGGGATTCTTATTTGCTCTATTTTAGAAAGTTATCGCCTTTTTCACGATACTGCAGACACATTTTCACACTTACCCCCATCTGCTCCGGCGTCAACAAACGAGGCACACATCTTGCTGAAACGCGGGGCATTCCTAATCTATCAGTCATAATGCATTGAGCTGTACCATATGACATAGCGAACTTATTTGCTACGTGCTCCACACTCTATCTCGAAGTATGTACTCCTGTATGGCAGCCACTGTTTCTTCATCTGTTACAGTCACTGGTCTACCTGCACGACTGTCGTCTTCAGTTGCCTCTCTACCGTCTTTAAACCGCTTCATCCACTTTGAAATGGCACCTTTTCACAGAGCAGCCTCTCCGTTAACTCTTTGCAAATCTTCACGAATGTCGGAAAAGACTTTCCGAGTTATGTGCGCTGTTCATTGACGCTGTGTGACGCCATTTTCGAACGGATGCCCGTAACATGACGTCATTAACGGTTTATGACGTCATATAAGTGATGAGCGTTAAAAAAAAGGTTTGTGGTAACAGTAGTATCAGATTTTAACTTTGAAAATCAAAAATTGTGTCTTCATCTGACATGTGTAAAATAGTACTTCATATTCAAACCGACGCAGTAGTTTTGACGCTATTGAATTAGTATACGAATTTTTTATGCACCCTCGTAGTAGTCAATGTCATAATTTTGATTTTCACATATAGGATGTTTATCCATTACATGACATTGATAAAATGAAGATGAGTAGAGCTTAAACTTGCATTGCATGCTGTATCCACATGTTGTGTTAAATTGTTTTCTTAACCAAAAGTTGAAAACAAGGAAAGAAGCAAACAAAAATATTATTATTTCCAACACTATGCGCATCTTGTATATCTCCGAAGCATATGTAATACAAAAACAATCTAGTAGCCTTTAAAATAAACATAACGTTAGATATTTAGACTTATAAATATTTTATTTCTTGCTTACGCAATATTCAATATTCGAACTTTACATTAAACAGCTCTTTTGACTGGACTTATTTAATCCTATATCAACAAGTAACGTTGGAATGCCATCCTAAATGCATTTAATGAGGCTTTCAAATAATAATTTCGTGCACACGATTTTTGGTACACCCTCAAATGACTTAGTATTTAGTCTTGAACAATAGTGCTGGTGCTGTTTTAGAGACATTGATTCTGAACAATATAAGATTTCAATATAAATATGCTAAGCTGAGTCGCTGAGAGTGAATGTTTATATACCATAAGATTCGACATTTTCCTTCCAGTTTTAATTGAAAGAGTTAATAATGTTGCGTGAATTGATAAATTCATACCATTATTTTTGAACATATAAATATAATTACAAATTAAATAAAACGGCACGAAATATTACATTTATGATGACAAAGACCACAGCGTATTTCAATAAATATTTTCTTGAAATATGTATGAAATATATTTGAAACGTTTGATCTTTGAAATTGTTACGCTATTACACGTGTTACACAAATAGAATGTTTGGTTAGGCAGAATAAAAACAAGATCAGAATATTTGAATATTATCAAGGCAAATGTGTAAAGAAAAAATGCTTCCAGAATTGGCAACGACACATCAATTAATTTTCCTCGCAAGAGTTTTAGGCTAAGTTTATTATAGATAAATTTATACAGCTTCATCAATCCGACCATCAATACTGGAATAATAAAGGAAGACAATATATACTGAGAATTAATAGTCAATAAATCATTATATGGTTCCATATCTATATCAGATTTTCGAATTCCTGAGGCATGACACTAGATCCAGCTAAATGATAAAAGTAAATTGATTCAGAATATATCGGAATGATGGAGTGATTGTAGAGAACAGATGTCAAATAGAGGTGAAGAGAGGGGTAGGTCTGTTCTATCACATTTGATTTTATATTGGCTATTCTGCGGCCAGGATTTCCACAAATCATTACAATTTCTGGTTTGTTTTTGCAAACACACCGCGTTAATAATTCCAAACATTTTCTGTTACAATGGCAGAGAGACGAACAGACTGAAGTACAGACAGTTAGACAGTAAAGCAAGTCCTTGCATGTCGGTTTCGGCAGTTATGTGGCAATTGAATTCGCGTAACACAGGTTACACAATGATTAAATTGTACTTTCTTTGATTAAAATATACCTTTAATATTGGGTAAATATAAAGATTCTTATACGTTTGAAAATGATAATTTATAAAACCAATATTTTTCTACAATAAGAAGATACATAGGAAAAAACTTTCTTTATATTTCTGTGGTCAGTTGACTTACCAATGTGATACTTTAATGTTTTATATGGATGCAATAACAATTAACAAATGTCCTCGAGCAATGACCATTATCAAAGAAAAGGTCAAATATAGAGATATGAAATGTTGTTTTTTAATATCTTAAGGCAAACGTGCTGCTTATCTGTGACAACATAACTGAAATCTACAGTCCAAATTAAATTAATAACACATAAAATTCCTAATACGATATGCTCCAATTGGACGTTATTTACTTATACAAATATAACAATAAAGGGTGATACATCTGTATTTAATATTTAGTTCGTAATGAGCGACTGAGAAACGTATAGTTAGTTTTTGATTTATAATTGTGTGAGTTTGTGTGTGTGGTAAATAAGTTCTTAAATCGAATTCAATTTTTTATTCTATAAAATTTAAATTAACTGAACAATTAACATTGAAGGTAGAGAACGTATTGAAGATAAACAAGAAATGTTATTAGTCAATTAGCTAATTGCATCTGCTTGATCAATCAGATTGAGACATTTACCATTAAACAAAAATTAATTTCTGTCTTTAATATGAGGTGAATTGCTCTCTAGGTGAATATATGTATACTTGCATTAAGATCGCCTGATTTAGCAGTATTTCACCAACGGTTGGATAAAAGCAAAATAGCATTAATTTAGACAAATAAACTGTTATGTAATGATATTTTAACATTTGTTTTGTACACTTAAAGAATCAAAATGCTGGAAAAGATCTGAAGATTAATGAATGTTTTGATCTCGTTTACATTTTTGTTTAACTATCTTCCCACAATGATGCGTGCATTTTACCAAACAACGATTATGCCTGTTTTAAGATAATGACATTTACAAGTTTCAGGCAGCTAACATGCTGTGCACAAACATCAACAGCAGATATTCCAGTTAACTGCTCTATTTGTTAACAATTTTAATGCATTTCATGTAAAACCGCATGGTGAGTTGTTTTCATTTTTTATAAAAGAAATTGATATTGCGTCAGTATACTTCTAAAATTAAGCCATGAATGTTAGCATATCGTAGAAAATATGCTAAACATGTACTTTAAGAAATAAAAGTTTTAAAGTATTTGAATCCATAAAGTATAGTGTTTAAGAAAAACAATAAAATGATATTTGCGCGTGATAGCAATAACATTTCAAAAAAAATAACAGTTTGGAAGACTTACTTTGCCAATGTACTACGGTAAAAAGTTGTGTGAATATTTTCCCGCGTTTTCCAAGTCTCCAACTCATTGCTTTTGGCGTTTGCAGTTTCTGTACTCAAATCAGATGAGTGACTTATTCCATTCTAAGCACACCATGTTGAATTACATCTAAAATTAAATCACACGTTTCTAAAAATATGTAATCACAGAAAATAAAATAAAAGTAAAGATAATTTTCTCTTTTTTATATAATGAAACTTATAGATACTTCATTTTCATATCTTCTGCTTCTAGTACTTTATTCAGGTAAATATATCTTATGTCAAAGTTATAACTTCATAGAGAGCATGTCACTTTACAAATTATAGTGTCACTTAAATTATTTCTTTCAAAGCGCACGATGTCATGTGAAATAATTAATCAATAGTACTATAGCATGCCTGCGGTAACATTTTGATCTACAGACATAAGCCTGGAATAAACTTCTATCTCCATGAGAATATCAATCATGTTAAAATAGCTGACGGTTTCCTTTTACCATACCAGATTTTGGCAAATTCAACCAATATTTTTACGCAGTTAAGAAAAATGAAAACTATCTAAAAATGTTAAAGTATTTAATACGTTTAAAAGTAAATGTGTTTCGTTTTTCTATCTTGCTTCGTAATTTTTTTGTAAAAATGGTACAAATATGCCATGGCAAATTGGATTTTGCAATGGCAAATTGTTATTATACCATGGCAACTTTTTCGTAAGTAAATGACCTCTACTGCTGCTCTCATATAAAAAAATAAGCTTACTTATCAGAAATTGTAAAACATTCACATCATTTTAAAATATTTAAAAATAATTGAATACATATAAATAATTTTGAAAAACAAATAGAGGATTTTATAGAAAAAACTTGAATTTTCTGTTTATTATATACATTTTTCTCTTTTTTGCGATAAAATTTGAAAGACTTTCCCTTAAATTTTGTGTACTGGCAGAATTTAAAAGAAAGTAGTCCGGCAAGACACCAGTGAAAATACGGAAAATATGTTTCACTGCAGTGAAAAATAAATTTTTACAGTGAAAATACGGAAAATGAAAATACGCATTTTATTTCATCAATATTTCTCAATATTTCATTTATAAGTATATAATAATAGCAGATATTATTATCAATTGCAGATATATCACAATATTATGTTTTCTCAGTTCAACCGTCTGAATTTTAATGTTTTATGTATTTAAAAAAGGATAAATGGCAACACTTTATAGACCAATGAATGTACTTATATTTATAGTAACTTAACAATACAAATGTGCATGAAGAATATGACAAATTTGCTTACACATTTTATTTAAATTACCAGGTACAGTTTAAATTTCAAATTGCTAAATAAACATGTAAATTTACATAAATAAGTAGTAAATATTTTCTTATAAGAATATCTCAATTATTTATTTTTCATTTGTTTTGGTTTTTAAATCAATACCGAGGCGTAGTTTTAGTATATTACTGCAGTCCTCAGACACTGACAATTAAGTGTAAGACTTTTGATCTTATTGTAACAACAAAGTATTAGCAAGACATCTGTAAGAGCAAAGCTAGTTTAATGCCTGGAGTTATAGGATAAAATACACTTCGTATTAATGGTATAAAAACGAAAGAAAAAAGATAAACAATAAAAGTTACGATACAAAAAAGACTATCCTGTACATGTTGTAATTTCTTGAATGACGCCGGAAAACATATGCAGTTAGAACTAATTTTATCAAATAACTAAAAAGAAAATATTATCAAGAATAGATCCGTAGTTCGTTTTCGTATTATCCTGTGCCTTGACGTAGTGTATTAAATCCATGTCACTCCAGTTACCGTCTTTCCAGGGAAAATCGACGTTTTGTTTATTTTACAAATATTTCCATCTTGAAATGACTAGTCAACCATTTTCTTTCTTTTTCTTGTCGTGAAAATAAACTTATTCCGCGCCAAAGCCAAAACTGTTAAATACTTATAAGTGTAAGGGTATACTTAATAAAAAATCAATTTTGATATTATTCAATATATCCAAATAAAATATATTGTCTTCTCATCGTCTTACTATTAAAGACTTTTTAAAAAGTGATCATCAAGCAGTCATACCTTTTCTCAGAGCCACTTATCCACTCTACTAATCAGTATATATCTGATGTTATGTATTTCCCGACACCATTGAATTAGCAGATTATCGGATCACTTCAAATATATTTCTTTCACCCTATATTTTGTCATCTGCTAAAGATTAATCAATAGAACTCTATCATGCCGCCGGAAATTTTGATCTAGAGATATCAATTGTGTGGGTCTAGCTTGGAAATTTAGATTTCTTCACATTGACAAAATGGGTACTACATAAAATGGAGATCTATATATACATTTGTAGATACAATTTTGTCTTTTTATTAATTATAAATATTAACTTGCTGATAACATTCATGGAAAAATCTTACTTTTTACAAACATTTTAGACGGCAATGTATATAGCAATTAAGTGAAAATAGACATCAATCCAAGCATAGTTGATAAAATTATTCAAAAACAGATTTAACACGTTTTTATTTGTTGAAAAATGACAAGGACAACAAAAATCCAAATAACATTCTGTGAAAGAAATTTGATTTCAGCGGGAAAAAATGTCAAGTTAATGACAAACATGTTATTTTAATGGAATGGACGTCTTTATTATGTAATTGAAATCTTGAAATCTGATTCGTGAAGTTCAATCACTCAGAATTTACTGTAAACAATCAGATGTTAAAAATGTCAAAACTTTAAATCCACTTGTTTTATGCTACACACAAAACAAAAAATCGGTAACTTTGCATTATATAGAAAAAACGTCTTTATGTTACCAATATTTTAAACTGTTTAAAATATCTAGTATAAAAGAAACATTATTTAACAGTTGGCTATATATAGGGCTTTGTACACATGTACATTTGTATACATGTCTCTTCGATAAGTGTGATATTATGCCCCTTTCTTAAAAAAAGCATATATCGTAACTATGTAAATAATGTCTATTATAATTGATCACACAACTGCTATGAGAACTGCCCGATGACACGTGTCTAATAATTAAGTTATGCCCAAAATAATCAACCTAGTTTATCAGAACAGAACAGATATTTTTACAGACTTATACGTTTGTTCATCGCCTTCTTAACAAACATTTGATTAGACATAGGCACATGGCAAGTGAAAATACACAAGTTATAAACAACTTTTTAAAATTAATAAACAATTATTTTAGAGGACACACATTATGCAAGAAGAAAATAACAATTCAATTATGTAGAGAATTAATGATTGTGTTTATCCATGATAAAGATTATTGGATATTACTTAAATAAAAACAGTTTTATTTTGCACAAATGGTTCTAACGTAACATTTGTTACCCCATACTGTATTGCTTGACAAAACGTCAACTTATTCAAAACATCATAACAACAAAGTTTATTTATGTTTATAAAAAACAATCAAATAAATTAATCAAAATATCATGAAATATTAACAGAAACGAGGGTCAATATTCGCCAAGTTTGATTTGTCGTATTGCAGACAAAGATAACAGGAAAATGTAATTGACTTAAAGATTACAGCAACAATAAGTGGACAAATGTCAACAGACAAATCACATAAAATAATTATAAGTCCTAGCTTAGACAAGTAAAAACATTTCCCACTCTTTATCTTTAAAAGAATAAACATTGCCTACTTTACGTGAAGACATCTCCAAATATAAAACTTATAAAGATAAAAACATCCTTCTCCAAATTTATTTTTATTACAAAAAGAACGACCTTCAAATCTTTTACATTTAAATTACAGTATGCCTTAGAAATCAATATTTTTTAATTCTTTATAAATGTCAAACATGTGTTTGATAATGTTTAAATAATAGAGTTAGAGAGCATGTTAGTAACAAAGTAGTATTTTGACTGCCATACAAAACAATAATTCAGATGGGCAACAGGTATAAAGTTACATAAGTAACAAAAATTAAAACGGCCTTATTTACGTATTGTATGTTTGTGTCATACACCAGTACTAGAATATGTGACAGTTTGACAGATGAAGAGCCATGTGTAATAAATAAAATTAAGTTTATGTCAAGAAAGTAACTGCCATTAACGAAGCACTCTCGAATTTTTATTTGCTGTCCAATAAAGATACTTTAACGTCGTCGCTGCTTTGTAAATCGACACTGAAATAATTTCTTTTCTGATTAAATAATAGCAGACAGACGACACATTGAAAGTAGTTTTATTGGCTACTAAATATATACATACAGTGTGTCAAGCGATGTTCTTTTATCATGCCAGAAGTGTTCGCATTATTTGTTTCACGTTGTAAAATGTGTATCATTCATGGCCATTGTCATTTTGTCCAACTGAAAGCCGCACAAATAAGTGGCAAGTAAAATAACATCTCTGTGGCAAATAAGCGCTTCCATATTTCATGGATGATGGAGAAATAATTATGTTTCTATTCAGCAATGCTAAAGTCACGGTAACATGTTGATATGTAGAAGATGACAATTGAAGTGTAACGTTCGCGGAACGCGGCCCGCAAAAAAAAACATGTCACATTTGACTTCCGGAAAGACATCCATCAGAACACTGAACAAAAGCAAGAGCTGAAGGATTATAATCACAATTTTACCTAAGTAAAATATTAACCTCAATATCTCCGTAAACCATAGTTCCGGCCTGAGATTTTTATCAAGATTGACCTTTAAACATTGCAGACAATCGGACCAACATATGGATTGCAAAATTATTTCCCTTTTTGTGAAACCTACGATAGAATAAAAATGTTCTAATGACTAGTTATAACAATATTGATGATAAACTTTCATTATTGTTGGAAGAAATGTTTCATTCTTATCGACTATGTCTTCCTTTTAATAAGGTTTGTATTAATTACAGTAAAATTAATGCCATGCAGAATAAACGACATATTATAAAGGACAAAACATGTATGTGATATAAGAATATCAAAAGATATAAATCAAATGTAAAGGTTAAATAGTAATATTAGACGATAAGGATTAATCTTGTCAGACAGTAAAATCGTGAGAAATGTTTGTGATTAAATCAGACGGAAATGTAATAAGAATGCCGTCGTCTTTCTAAAAGACAAATGAAAGATTGTTATAGGTCAATAAGTGCAAAAGTGTCAGCGTTTCAAAACAAGATTAAATATAACTGATAATAAATAGTTTAAACAATATTTTATTTCTGTCGTATATAAATACATTGGCAATATAATCAAATACTAAAAGTATTGGGAAGAAAGCTGA